GAAGAGTGGCTGGAAAGCTGCCCGGCAGAAATGGACCTGGGGGTGGTGGCCACCAGCTGGCTGAATAGGAGCCAGCAGTGTGCCCAGGCGGCCAAGAAGGCCAATGGCATCCTGGCTTGCATCAGGAATAGTGTGACCAGCAGGAGTAGGGAAGTGACTGTTCCCCTGTACTCAGCTCTAGGGAGGCTGCACCTCTAATCCTGTGTTCAGTTTTGGGCCCCTTACTACAAGAAAGACTTTGAGAGGCTGGAGAGTGTCCAGAGAAGGGCAACAAAGCTGCTGAAGCGTCTGGAGCAGAAGTCCTGTGAGAAGCAGCTGAGGGAGCCGCGGTTGTTTAGTCTGGAGAAAAGGAGGCTCAGGGGAGACCTTATCGCTCTTTACAACTGTCTGAAAGGAGGGTGTAACGAGGTGAGGGTGAGACTTGGTGATCGCAGAGGGCTTTTCCAACCTTAATGATTCTATCAGTCTAGAACTAAGGAAGCTGGCTACCTAATTGCTCTCACACTGTGGACAATTAATTACTCTGCGGCTCTTCTGGAAAGAAAATCAGACCTAAACAAAGGGTAAGTTTAGGCATTTAATTATTGTATGTTTTAAAAGTGATTTAGTAGATTATACCTCATAATGAGAGAAAGATGATATAAAAATTTCTTTACTGAAAGAGTGGTCAAGCCTTGGCACAGACTGCCCAGGGAAGTGGAAGAGTCACCATCTCTAGAAGTATTTAAAAGATCTCTAGCTGTGGTACTTAGGGACATGGTGTAGTGGTGGACTTGATAGTGTTAGGTTTACAGTTGGACTTGATGTTCTTAAGGGACTTTTCCAACCTAAATAATTCTAAGAATCTAAATAAAATCCTGGCACAGAAGTTGGGGAAGTTTCATAGCGACTACTCTTGCTTCTCCCAAAAAGCATTATACCTTAAGATTTAGTCAGGGATCATCGTAGAAATTCCTTCTTGCATGCATCATGCACTTTTTACCCTCAGCTTAAGAACAGTACCAGACACCAGCAACAGATTCTGAAACTGCCTGTTAGCAGATGGAGGAATAAAAGAGAGCCCAATGGGGATGTCAAGTGTTCTGGCTCCTCACAGGCCCGTTTATGGTAGCAGAGAAGAAAGAGAAGTGAGTGACCATGGAAACTGCCAAAACCGCTTGATTTCAAGCAACCTGGAACCAAGCTTTTGGACACAGGGAAAACTTAAGAAACCTGCACAGCAATGGTCTCTCGCAATTTACCAAACTGCAGAGCAGCTGCTGTAAAGCCATTCTGAGACCATTCTGTGCAGAATCACTGCACCGCAGCAAGAATTTACAGTTTCACTGGGAACAAATGAATCAAGACTTCACTTGGACCAAGCATACAGAAGGGCACACAAGGCTAAGTTAATTGGAACGACAACTTTGATTAACCCATTATCTTAGGAAACTTTCAACCTTCAGTGTCATCTTCTAATTGTAACAGCAATGAAAAACGCTAAAACGTCCCTTTTCCTTTAACTGAATGACAGCATCAAGTACCCCACTTCTCTGTTAGGTCAGGACCAGCTGTGAGCTCCCAGCCCCTGTGGAACAACTACGTGGACTTTGACCTCCGGGACCCAGCTCACCTTCATGGTAATGGTCTTCAACAGTGATGATTCTGCCTTTGGTTGCTCTTGCATTTTCAAGTATTGTCTTCTTATCTAGAGGCTTTATAGTGAAGGGATCAATCACACGGACGAAGATTTTTTCTGCAGAAACAGAATGAAATTATTGGCAACATGAATTTGGAGAATGCAAGACAATGCAAGTGTGCAGACAGCCCCTGCAATCTTTTAGGCCCATTATGAGAACTACCTACACTAACTCCTAGATATCTGTGCGACTTACGGCTGGTCTACCACAGAATCCAAACAACCCTCATTTTTGTATCCACTCTTTCTTCATGCACCTTGTGAGATAGAAATATCCATCCATTTCACAGACTAAACTCTTGAGTCAGAAAAGCCTTAGATAAGTAACTCAAGGTCACTTGGAGTGCCCGTCAGCAAAACAGTAATTTAACTGGCCTTCCCACAGGTAAGAACAGAATCCAGTCATGAGGAAATAATTCTTATTCGGACTGTCAAACACAATTTATTTCCTAGACCTTTATTTTACCTTTAACTATTGTCAGGTTAGGAATAATTCCTTCCTACTTCTTCGGTCTGCAAGCATTTCAAGTGCTTCATTACAGATTGCCCACCTGTCAGGTGTGCCTGTTTGAACTGCCCCAGACCTGACTGCAGCACTCTTACGTTTAGCATCAAACCCAGAATTTGTCCTGTCATCACAAAGCAGGCCCAGCTTATTAAAGCTATGTACAGACAGTGCTTGTTCATTAAGAGTAACGAATTACAAGAGGTTTTGTCTGAATCTGGCTAGCTGAACACCTAGTCAAGTCTTATCACACATAAAGAAGCCCTATGTTACGTTGACAGTTTTGTGACTCAAGGCTCTTTAGCGGCCTGCCTCTACACTGAAGGATTACCTCTCCATAGCTGGTTATTCATACTGCAAGATCAGCAGAGCATTAAAAAGCATGGTAAATGTAGAAAAATAAAAATAGTTCTGAAAAGACAAGTTTCAAGATGTCCTAAGCCTGCTGGCTCAACGTCTTGACAAAGTATCTGTCCACCTAGAAACACCATATAAAGCTCCCCATAAGCCACAGGCAGCATTAATTGTATTATCTGTTCCTATTTGTAATCTCTTCCTGGGCGTATGCTACTGAGTCACAGATGGATTTTTCATGAGTTCTTTCTCTTCTTATTTCACTGCAGGATTTTTATGTTTGCTGTGAAATGTCAGTACATTTGAGCACTATCATAGAATTACCGCCTCCCACACTAGTTAAAAGTTGATACATTCATTCAAAAAAACCAAGTTAGCAGTGATGCCTATCTGCACAAAGGCACTGCTATCAACAGCGTTGTGTAAGAGTGCACACACAGTTGCTGCAGCTCGGTGACAAAGCTGTATTTTGTTAACTGCCCCCAGCCTGACTGCATCCTATTGTGTTGGTACCCCAGCTTGTACACGCTTCCTCCAAGACACAGCGTGTGCGGCACTTTCAGACAGATTAGCAATTCTAAGGAGACTGTGATCTGATCAGTTTGGCAATTTTCAAGGCTACTAATACTGCTAAGCTAACTAAAACCTACTCAGGCAAGATTGGCAGATACATACTATGTTGCACTGTATCAGCTTAACAGGTGACCAGCTGTCTGTAACATTTTAATTAATGCTCACCAGTTACACCAAGTGGTATTGATTTCTTTGCTGCCTTAAATAGTAATAAAAAAGGACCCCCCCCTACCCCCATGATCTGATCACCTTTTCTCAGCTGCTCTGCTGCAGCCAGAGCCTCATGCAGAGTGACTCCTGCTCCAATCACAGTCACTTGGTCATCCTTACTCTTCAGAACCACCTGCAAGAAAATGTTTCCGTGCATTTTTAACAATAAATCCTACTGATATTTCTAACATTTCTGGAGATTGTATTAAAAGAATAAAATCTTTGGCATTGGAATACTTTAGAGGGAAAGGGGTTTTTACAGGAGGAACTTTACATTTTTTTTCTGATTCTCTTTATCTGGGCAATATTTACCTTTGCCTGTCCAATGTGGAAGTCCTCATTGTTGTTGTAAATGACAGGATTTTCAGGACGACTCGTTCTTATGAAACAAATTCCCTGTTTCCGAAGTAAACATGTTTTAAGTTACAAAACCAGAAAGGTGCTGACATTCTAGTTAAAAAATACAGCAGAACGACTTTTTCTACTGGTCTGATTTTCACCCTTCTACGTTACCTCTGGTTCTACTGAGTAAACTTTTATCTGCCCCATTCCCATCAGTCCTTTTTCAATAGCTGGTTGTTTCAGACATTACAATACAGTTACCCTCTTCTTAGAGAACTCTGATAACTTCAATTTTCTTTCCGATTCTATGATCTTTATTTCTCTTCTGTTCTCTTGAGGAAATGGAGACTCCTACTTGAGTTCATTAGAATCTCACAACTTTGCCACACTTCACAAATTTTACTCTAGCAACTTTAAAGCAAAAGAAGAAATGCTCAGCTGAAAGCAAGGAAAAATGTTTTCCATCAGTCAATGTTCAGATGCTCTTCCAAGAGAAGTACCAAACCAGTACTTAATCTCTTCCTCACACTACCTTACACTCCTTTTCCTCCTCCCCCCTTTTTCTTTCCGCAAACCATTCATTACATTTGTTAAATACCAAATTTCCACACTCCTTCACTTAAAAGCTGCACTACCAAGATTAAAATTTTTCAGATAATTTGCTCATTTCTCAAGGTAAAATCCTACAGCAGCCAAAAGAAGTATCAGTCAAGGACATGGTCCCGCCAAATACTACCGACGATGTTTGACCATTACTGTATCAAATTAGCTGTCGGTAAGAGAGAACAGAAACTCTGTCACAGCCATGTGGGAAGGGAGCCGTTTTCAGCCACAGTCCAATTTAACTGCAATTCATCATTGGCAACAGAGGAGCAAAAAACAACCAGTGAGACTGTCAACCAGTGTAACCATCTCCAAAAGATGTAGACTGTCTTGAACCAATGGAGGATCTGACTCCTGAACTTTCACATACAGGCACTTTATGATCAAAACCTGACGATAAATATATCTTTTCAAATCCAGCTTCAATTTTGACCCCAGAGATATCATACTAGAAGTGTACTTTCTGTAAGTTTGCTAAAGACCAAGAAGATACATACACTTGTCCTTACTTCTGAGCTAATTTAGACCCAACCTGCAATTGCCGTGCAATCATTCACATTTCCCCAAATCTGGCCCACAGCATTCCAGACTGCTCATTCTGTACCAGCCTGGACAGAATGTCTGCAACCTTTCAATGAAAAGAAAACATCCCACTCTATGCCAGAGCCTTTGAAAGAATTTATGTGAGTAGAGACATGCAAAAAACATGCCAAACACAACAAAAGAAGTAAAAAACCCAAATATTCTCTGGCTCAGAAATACTGTGATGCAAACCTTAGTGTTGGCAGCTATTTCCACTGCTTTTTCAGTAGCTACAGCATCGCTAGGGTAGAACACAGTGGCATTGGGAACAGCACGGAACATGCACAGATCCTCCAGTCCCATCTGAGATGGCCCATCCTCACCTAAAAGAGTCACAAAAGAGTAAGTGCACATTTTTTGCACTCAATATAGCAGTGAGGTTCAATGTAAACCAGAAAAGAAAAAAGTATAAAATCAGGCACACACAGGACATGCAAGTCTACCTGCTTGAGAAAAGAATCATCTTCTCCTTAAACTTGGAACCATCTAAACAGTAAATAAAGATAGAAAGAGACTAAAATGAAAGAGAACTAGGGTTAAAAATAAAAAAAATTAAAATGAAGTGTAACAATAAAACAACACAAAAGAAGACAACCAAAGTAGGAAGGGTACAGATACAGAAAGAAGGTCACAAGGTACCCGAGCATCTACATACATGTACTGAGCCTGCACAAGCAAAATTTACACTTGTCGATAGTGTCCCTCTAGATTTAAACTGCTGGAAATGTGAAAGGAGAATTGCATGTGTTCCATCAGAAATGGAAAGTGCACTTGGTACAACTGCTCTCAAATTCTTAGGCTCACTTCAAGATTAAATGAAGGGTATGTCTTTTTCAGTGGTATAAAAAGCCTTTTAAAGAGCAATAGGGCATTCGTGTTGTTAATTTAGCAACTCAAGCACCTTATGGTATAAACAGCAGATCTATAAAAAAGAATCGTTAGCCAGAACATGTGCTGGATGCCATGATTTTCCATAGCTAAAGAAAAAACCACCACAACCTCCCCCGCCCCCAATGACCTTATGTAAGGGTGCTTTGGGAATGGCACTCTTCCAAAGTAACCATGCAGAGAGCTCTGAACGCAGTCATGTCACAGCCTGCAGAGCAGAGCAGGGCGCTGGGCCCTCCCACATGCACCCACTACCTGTTACTCAAGAAGGACGAGTTCACGAGGAAGGAGGAGAGTATTTTCATAAGAGCAGCACAAAACTCTGAAGAACTTTAAACATGTTAAAGAAAGGAATCATTGAACTCTGCCACTATACATTACTAATAAAACAAGCACGATCAGGAAAAGAGAGTTGTCTTGGCTTTCAGTCGTGGCATGAAAAAAATTCTCAGCATCACAATTTCCAAAGCTGTAAGCACTCTGACTGAACGAGTGGGATCTCAGTGCGCATTTTCCTTTCCTAAAATGCATCCACACAATGTATACACACAAGAAAAGTGAAATTACTAAGAACAAAATTAACAGGTCCCTGAATCAGAATCTTACCCAAAGTAAAGAGAGTACTCCTGCTCGCCCTGCTTTTGCTAACGTGGTGCCAGTAACACCAGCATCCACATTTCACACTAGCAATTTACAGACTAACATTAAGCTGAGCTCAGTCCCAAGTGCATCTTTACAAAAATCTTGATTTACGTGCTATTAGAGTAATGCAGATCAAAAAAAGAGTAATTTTCAATGACATCTACAAAACCTGTATTTATAGCTTAATAAAAAAATATGAATACTTAATATGAACTGTATCAAATGTCTAGAATATAGTTGTCTAAACAACTGATACTTGTATCTTTGACACACGTACTCTATGGTTTCTTTCCCTGCATGTTGTTTGGAAAATACAGATTTTCCATTATTCCCTTATGATCTTAAAAATTACATTTAAAAAAATACATTTAATGTATTAACATCTTAAATGTATTATTATTACATCTTAAAAATACATTTAATGTTTCATTAGATGTTTTGGTCCATCTGCAACTATTGGTCTTAGAGTGAACTTAGTCTACCTAGAACTGCATACATAAAACTTCAATTTTCACCACAAATCCAGTCAGGATTTTGAACTCCACGCAGGCCCAAAGTTCTGATAGGAAGTACACTCAATTCATACCCTTCCATTTAAAATTGAATTTTCTAACTGCTACAGGATGTCTCTGAATTACTTTCTCTTACAACTTTGTTGCAAAACTTTGGGTTCAAATCATTTTTTGGAAGTCAAGAGTTGAGGCCTGAATCAGATTTGTAATTCAAAGAACTTTTAAATGCACTCCACAATCACAGCTCCCAGCAGAACATTTCAAGTGCTGAAAATTGAAACTTGGAAGTGTAGTTCTAGGAGACAATTCAGGTAACCCAAAGCAGTTTTATCTTCTTAAATTGAGCAAAGACCAAAGCTAATTGGCTTTTGCACCAACACCCTTTGCTGCTTGCTAAAAGACTTAAACTGGATTGGACTAGACTACGATGAGTCGAGAGGACTGATTTTAAAAGGAAAAGAGGCTTGTAATAGAATCCCTCCCTTAATGACACACACAAGCCATAATCTGATATACTCTACTTACAGTCTCCACTACTAAAGCATATTCTATACTGCGGCAAGTTAAGCTTGAGGTTTCGGATGAGACTACACACACTTAGGAAGCATCATCTCTACAATTATTACAGGTCAAACTAACTATTTTGCTTTAAGCAAAAAACCAAATACTCCTCCAAACCATACTGCTACCCAAAACGATTAAATCAATGGGAAAACTGACATATGGAGAGAGCCTGTCAGCTCTCTTTCTCTTTCTTTTCCCCTATGAATATCTAGTAGTAGTTCAAGTATGAATGTCTACTGGCATTTTCATTCTTCTTATGCAAGTCTGCTCCTTTTTTCATGGGTGATGCCTATGTATTTCATGAGGAAAAAACAAACAAACAAAAAACGACCCCACCAAAACTCCCTTCCCGCCCTCAAACCAAATTCAAACCCCATTATCATATTATCTGACCTAATATACCAAACAGTTATGATAGAAAGCAAGAAAAAATACTGCCAATTTCCTGAATTACAGAACTGCTTCACAGCTCCTGTTTCATTGGTACTTTGAGGTTTCAGGGTTTTTTAATCAACACATTAACTACTCCAGTAGGAAGAAATACTGACATAAACTGAAGCAATTATTTCAAACTGGTGATCTTCTAAGGCATAATAAAACAAAAATATTTATCCCTCATACAGTGTTTTTGAGATTGGTGGACAAGAGCATCTGTCCAAGAGTAAGTATTATTAGTTTCTCATTTTAGGGCTGGGAAACAAAGGTACAGTAAGGACACAACTATTCTCACCACAGAGGACATCAACTGCAAAGACAGAAAGGAATCTAAGCCCCTCCCTTGTAATCCAGCCCCTTTATATTGCTCTATACTTGTAGACTAGAAAAGCTT